AATGTACATACAACCAACCAGCTATCTACATTCTATTTCTCCTTAAACAACTATTAAAAGTTAACTGATATTTTTCTAGATTGTTTACTTATGCCACTGAGAATTACCTCAATTCAACAGCTTCATTTAATGCATTTTTACTTTCTCTATATAGAATGCTAAGATTTATTCGTGCCCTTAGCATACATTAATTAGACACTACTTATAAATAACCTGCAATAAGAATATCTATTTGAATAGGATACAATTACTTCAGGGCTTGTGTCTTTTCAATCAGTCAGTGTCCCTGCAGTGTTCAGAGTGGCAGAGGGGAAGTGGCCTGTGGTTAAACAGAGGAAATACCAAGGAATTTTAATAGAGCAAATAGTCTCTTTACTTCCTACAGGGTACTACTTCAAAGGCAACCCCGCTCCAGAGCGGACAATGTGTTAGAGGGGCCATCGCTCATTTAATAGTGTGTCAAGTCTACTCAAAACTTACATGCAGACCAAGATAAATACCACATAACTGAGACAATGGGTACCATCCTGCAGTCATTACTCTAATAAATGCTGCCCTGCCTGGATTATGCAGGCAATCGTAGGCAAGACTGGTACTACAAAATCAGACTATGAAATTATAACTAAACAATCAGACAAGATATCTAATAAATTGGCTAGGGAAGTCTGCACTTGAAGCTGGAAATATAACAAAACCAGAAATTAGTTCAAATATTTAATAAGCTAAAATGTTACATTTGTTGTGAGCAATAAAGACAAAGGGAGTTTTATGCTAATTGGAAAGAGTATAATTTTTACTGATCTGAAAGCCAAACAAAATAATTACATTCAAAGAATTATATTGTGGTACATTCAGGTTTAATACCCACAATGACATTAATTACGTAAGGACAAACAAATCCAATCCAAAGCGCATCTGCATTTTTCTATAAATGTCACACTACACTAATCAAGTGTTATGACTTTCAGTAGTGATAATTTACTTAATAGCTGATGCACAACTTGACAGAAATACAGGCAGGGGTCGTTAGGAGCATGCGGAGTACCCTGCCTACGTCTGGTGGAACATACGACAGACACAGTGAGCCAAAACACTGTATTCCTAACGCTCAGTTAAAAAGACCTAATAGGGGAGTCTAAACCTTCAACAGTTCCATCCAGCACAAAGATTTAGGTCTTAAGCTTTATCAGGGTTTGAAGTTTGTTTTTCCACGCTCTTCTTTTACACATTTTCCAATGCTTTCGCCTTTCTAAACCATGCCCTACAAACTTCTGAACTGTGCGTTGCAGTAACGTTCTCAAAGGACCTGATCTGAAACCAAGACAACCCTTAGCGACAGTCTAACAAAAAGGAAAAGCAATGAAAGTCAGTTGTGTTCCCTCCGGTGTTCCCCGATCACCACGCTTCAACGACATTTGTAACCAGACGTCAGGAGAAAGGGGAAAAAAAACCAACCCCAAAAAAACCACAGAACTCAGAAGTTATTTAAAAATATATATAAAAAAAGAAGGAACAGCAATGAAGAAAAGTCTGACAGCAAAACACAGCGGAAGAGGCACAAAAGGCAAAGAGCAGTAACACCGTGCTTATCACCTTCCTCCCCCTGCCCCCTCCCGTGAGCCTCCCGCACCCCGTGCAATGGCCAGGCCGGGGGCCAAGCCCCGAGCCGGCCTCGGGCCATTACAATAACAAAGCCCAAGCGATCGCCTTCACCCCCCTGGCCGCGCAGGTCGGGCGCAGGAGGGGAGAGCGCTGGCGGTGCGCGACCTGTAGAGTCGCTTCTGCACACCCGCTGCTGACAAGATGCCTCCCTGCCCCGGGCGAGAGAGCGATAAATAGTACCCCTCCCCGGGAAATGCCGCCCTCTCTCCCGGCCGCAAATTAACTACCAGACGCGGAGCCCTGGGGCAGCTTTATGAGCTGCAGGAGAGGCCGCTCCGCTCCCCTCCACGGCAGCCCGCCCCCCGCCTCGCAGCGCCGGGGAAGCGCCCCTCGCACCTGCACCGCTGGCAGGGCCCCCGTCCCGAGGCGGGCCAAATCCCCCAACCCCCCCCCACACCCC